ATTCATGCTGATCCCCGCATCAGAGTCAGCCGCGAGCTTAGCCTGATGTTCTCGAACGCTAAGGATGAGGCGTGGTCCCAGCACAAATCTCTGGACAAGCATCAGAACTTGAAGGACACCCTCGTAAATTTGTGCTTCCATGGAATATTGATCCTATATAAATGATGAATCGGCAGAAGGTCAATGATAGATGGGCATACCGCTGAGATTGTTGGAGACAAATAAACTGAATCTGAAGCAAGAAATAGCAAGAAAGCTAGAACATGCAAAGCTTCAGTGGAAAATGGTATGCACATTCATATCATAAGCTCACCTCGCAAAGTAAAGTATGTGAGTTTTCATCAGCACCGTGACGGAGTCACTGATAGTAATCCATGCCGCCCACGGTCGTTGGAGTCCACGAAAGTGCTTGATAACAATCCAAACTATAAGACACAATGCGAGGACCTCCCATATAGTGGCAAGCATCCAATTCATGGAAGACAGGAGTGTGATATCTCCAGCATTAACGGTGCACTGATAGGTGCCGGAGAGAATGAGTTCCTCTTATATTTCCCGATGAGCCTGACACAAGTTTTTCCATACTAATGACTTACCCTCAAAACTACCCTTCATCGATATTGCAAAGATTATTCCATTCGTGATGTTGACTGCCAAGAAGATGACAATGAGAAAAATAAATAAACGTCTAGATTGCTGATACATGGCATGCAACCGAGCGGTCATGATGGCTTGCACAATGTTTCAGTATAATTGAGGTATCACAGCTGTACATATAGCTTACCGCAAATTATGGCAAAAGCGACGACGCCTGCCCAAGTCATTGTGAGAGAAATATTACGGCCTGAAAAATACAGAAGTTAGCGACCAACCTCGGAGGATCATACTCCAATCAAACCCACATCTATGGCAGTCATTATATTGAACCAACATCAGGTATCTCACTCACCCCTACATGAGAGTGCAGTTGATGAGACAGAAATGGACAGGAATCGATGTAAGATACTCACTGTATCAGTCACCGGGATTGTTAAAACACTGACTGTATGCTGCCGGTTAGAACAATCAAACAATACATGCGAGGAAATACAGTACAAAGAATATCAAGGCTATATAACATACTGATTAGCAGAGCACCCATCGCTTAGCCATCTAAACCTACAGAGCGTATAATATTCCAAGGTAGCGCAACTAGACGTTTTCAAGTCAGCATAACTTATCAATCACACTTGAAATGCAAACTACGCACACCGAGATACAGGATGGTCATGAGAGACCAGCGTTGTCTCTGCGACAGATCAGTTGTATTATTATACTGTTCTTCGGTGGTGGGACTCTGCTCACCCAGATCAGTTCGACCTATAGAACCATTGTTAGCGCGCTGACTGCTCCGGTAACGTCATCTACCCACCTCTTGTCCGAGTGTCAGTACTGCAGATACCGTAAGTTGAATGCCGGTTGTTCACTAATGCTACGTTACTCACCCCAATCGTACATCACTCCAGCAGAGGCCGCAACTGTAAAACCGCAACCAATGTTAGATTGAGATGTTGTCTGAATAGCCTTCCACGAACCTGCGAAATAGCTGGCTATGCGACTCGAATTGATAAACGGCCACCAGCTAGGATTATCTGAGACTAATGTCATATTGTTTGAGGATGGATGCAAGGGAGCGGCAAACGTGGTGGACATATGACAATGGCGTTCGTGCTAAATACCCGCCATCCAGCGCTTGTAGTGAACCAAAATTAGCATCATAACGATGATACCCGTTCCCATCTTGACAATTTATTGACCGAAGCATGGTCGCATGAGATCGAATACAAAGGAAGGCAGTCCAGTGCCATCAATTGTAACAAACTAGATTTTTTTTGGCCGCACATCCCACGGGCAGAACGTTTGAACACCGCAAAAGATGGAAGAATTGTGCAATTCGTTCGGGTTGATATCATTCTCAAGCCCTTCTTGTTACATTTGCATCACCGAACAAGTTTCATCAGTGAAACCATGTGGTCCATTCATTGTACACAGGCTCAGTGAGTAACCGCCGAAACAGCCTTTGAATGATAAACTGATATTCCAATTCTCTCTGCTTCGCCGGTCCGGGGTCGGGTAGCATAATAGCTTCCTCCGCGGTTACTCACCAACGTCACGACTCACAATTCACATGACATCAGCCTGCGGAAAGTCAGATATGAAAAAGAACGGAGAGAGCCAACGGATTACTCGCCTGGACTGCCAGTAACCCCCTTCAAGCACCCCCCCCCCCCCCTAGGTTCTCAGTGCCTAACATTCTGACTCTCCCCTAGACAGACCATAGACAAATGAAGATAGTTGTTTTCAAACTCCTGCTTAGGATAGTCAACGGTTAGCACAAGCGTACGAGTCTTCGAATCTCCCTCGGGCATCGGGCTATGATGATATCAGAAGAATGCCGAAAACTGGAGGGCGGTACGACTGTGATGAATTGGACCAACGTGAGATGTGGCACTACTAGTTTATGATACCGCAGTACTTGCGACATTGATGCAACGTTCAACTTGAATTTGACGATCCGATCGATCTCTAGCTGCGGTTGCAGTTTGCACAGCCACATCATGAGAAACGTAAGAATGTTCAAGTTTGTCTGTCTACATAATCCGTGATAGCTGTCCTTGCTACAGTACACAAAGAATCACAAAGAAGATAAGGTGGTAAAAGTATTCACCACTGCATGGAAGATTTACACATGATGCGTCGCCACACTCTCGCGACATTCGGCTCATAATCCTGCGGGAATAACACCAAGTGAGGATTTCCGAAACTAGGGAGAAATCGAAAATTACCTCTTCCCATATAGGATCATCATAACCATCCTCATCAACGGGCTCCCAACCTGGACATCCATCTATCCAGCTATGTTGCGAATCAGTAAGCGTGATCAACCTGTCAAATGCTACAGGGGCAACACACAATTTATCGCCTGGTTCAGGATCTGGTACAGGCATACCACGCATATAACGTCGAATCAACGGTAGTTTTTGTTTTCCTGAGAAGAGTGGTGAAGCCAAGCCATCCTTGTCGGTGCCCTGGCGGAGGAAGTCGGAGTCCGAGCTGCACCACCATTCAAGGTCGAAGCCAACCTTCGACGGAAGAAGTGCTACAGAGACAATCTCTTCGACTTGATTATGAACATGAGCACGAGTCACGGATTAGAAAAGAAAGAACATACGTTTACTTGACAGATAGATGGACCATGCGCGGCACTTGTAGACTGATGGAACGATGAACAGACCATTGAGCTCTGGTATTCTGTATAGCACGTCGAGGACTTTATTACGTGGAACGTGATACAGACGAGGCTTGTGCACGACGAGAACAGCACTTCGCTTGCCTGAGAGGAACTTGAAATTCATCTTGAATGAAGCTTTTTTGAAGTTCTCTTTCTTGCTAGCAGACAGTCAGAACAATAACCCGACAAGACCCTCTCAGTTGCACTCACGCATTTGCCCCCGGATCAAAGATATGCTTCCTAGCACCCGTGGAGGTGACAATCATATCCTGCTCTACTGGATCCAACTCTGGCGGATAGTCTGACATCTTGAAATTTCCATGGACAGCGTCGAGTAGGACTTGAAATTCTGGATCATAGATGTTGCCGAGGACAGTGAATCGTGTTGTATCAAGGTCGAAACGGCCGTACGATCCGACCTGTGCCATTCAGTCAGCGTACCCCTTTCATTACATCAACGCGATATCGCTGACCTTGATTGGGTTCTCTGGATCCCAGTTAGCGAAGAGCCCTAAGGTACTTTGCCGCACGAGGTCGACATATTTTCGTTCTGCTCTCACCATGTTAGTATGTTGTCAAGTGATCGCGATAGTGGTCAGAGGGCAAGGCATGGGTCATGTCCGTAGATGGCTGTATGCCAACGCCGTAAATTGATGTACAATTGTGGTTCTGGACCACTCCCACGTGTCGGGCTCGTGTCACACTCACTTCTCGACCATTATGTACTGCCAGTGAGACTACTACTGTATGCTCATATCCGAGACTGCCTTGTAGCTTGCTACAGCCGACCTACCGACACCAAAGACTTACTCAATTCAGAGTCCAGACAGCCATTTTTACCACTAGAGTGCAAGGGGGTCCACCGCCAGATCCTAACTATACGCATGCGCCTCACGATCATCCATTGTTAGCGGTTGCAACCTCTCTTCGCGGATGTGCAACACCTGATGACGACAGGCTTGCAAATGAACAAGAACTACTACCGGTCACGCCACTGTTTTGCTGGTCAGTGCACGTTCATTAAAGTTAGCGCACGTTCAGCTGTGAACTTTCCCATGGATGCAAGTGAACTGCCAAACGCGTTCAGTGCCAGAAGACCGTCACGCTGGTTATGTAAACACTGGCCAGTTCGAACTGAAATGATACAAATTCTCTTATGACCTATAGGCTATGGGTCATCCAGGCCAATTCATTAATATTCCTTATCATGAACTGCAGCGTGGAAAAACTGATATTCGTCTATTTCGGTAAGTGCCGCTCGTACTTGTGCTATTACATGTAGATCCACCAGTCTGAATCATATTCTCCACTAGTAGGCTCACTGCACGGGCCTGGGTCGGTGCCATACCCAGCAATTGGATACATGCCTCAGATCTCAACAGGAACTACTACCAAAACATTCGTGTTTCCAAACCAGCTGTTAACGTGATACCAAATGCACGCAAGGCACCTCGAAGTCATCTCCAAAAATTCCGAGTCTCCATATGAGTTGAAAATCCTCATGACATGGTTAATCGATTAATGGTTACAGCTGTACATTAACTATTGGTAATGCAAGAATCCGTCACACCCTTGATTAACAATTTACCGCTTGACATGATAACCGACATAGTGTCTCGTGCGCACAATTATTATAGACGATAATGAAGCACCTTTTCCGTCCACATCGTGCTTACCCAAGTAGAGATCTTGACGAACGTTTTTGAAAAGTCAAAAGTCAAAGTAGACTCGGACAAGGATGACCTAGGTGTGTTTTTATTACTAAGCGCAGATATGTATAAATGTACGATCTATAGGTTCATATCCGTTACGGCGATTCAGCAGGAGCAACAGTCACTGACACTGCGCCATGGACTGATCTGTACGGCAATATTATTGTCCTTAAGTGTCATTTCCCAATCAAACGAAATCACCCTCACTGCCAACGACCCATTGATGGACTCAAGATATTACTGGTAACTCGCGTGTCAGTGCCAACGGCTGTATTGCACTGATGTGAAAGCAGAAACACGACTCACTACGCATAGAAACCAAATCTGTCATACAGGTGAGTCATGTTATCAAATCCAAAAATCACTAATACTTACACACTGCTTATACTCACAGCCAGCGCAAGCTCCGTCACTGAAGCAAAATTCGGCACATCTATCTGTGGCAGAGCCCTCAACGGGCGTGGCAGAGCTTGATGCCGTCAATCCAGCGACGATGGCAAGGACAATTGCAGAGGAGAAACGCATGATGTGCGACTCCGAGGATGCGATATGGGATAAAATAAATCTGAAGGGTCAGTAAGAAGATGGCTTGCTTTTATGTGCTGAGTGCCGTCGTTTATAGTTTCAGGAAGAACCTATCCGCCAATAGTCTTACATGCAACTCTATAACATCTGGAATGCCAGCAGACTGTCTTTTGACAATTTGGGATGGATCCAGCGATTGAAAACCTCTCCGCCGATGGATATGAACGTCGAATCCCAGTACCCCCGTATATCATGTGTCATGATTGTCTCAATCGCAGAATATCCACTTCTCCTACTCCATCTGAACATCCAATCCCATCTGCGTGGCACGTCAGCAGTCATCGTTCCCGCGCATCACATCATATCGTATCACGTTTAATGTTGGAATAAAATCATGTATTATTAAAGCTCACTGTATCCCACACGTCCTCACTAAGTACTATCGTTGGGCCAGAGTTGCAAGATTGTAGAGAATTGCAAAATGTTTCATAACTCACGCAACAGCACATCTTAAGTCCTGAAAATGAGGTCCTCAGATTTTGCAACTCTGACCCAACGATAGTATGTGCAATCTTGCACGCAACGTCAAGGATATTACTATACTATATGGACAAGTTGTTACTTGGACGCACTACATACCCGCCTCCCTACTGTACATGTTCCGCGCTCAATGACTGATCTACTCCCGACCTTCCCTCACATGACACCAGCCCTGGCGCCCCAGTCCCTTAATTACCCACAAACGAAATGTACCTCCTCTGTGCAAGCACTGACTCTGACGCCTCCTAGTTGCCTCTTGATTTTTTTCAAGTCACTGAGGGGAAGCCACTAGTAATGGAAGATCCTTGACGGGCGAAATAGTAAGCGCTTCCACTAACGATGTGCATAGGTCACCAACACTTTATTTTAAGCGTAGATTTTAGTATATCCTGCATATTTGCTCATCAACGCAAATCGACCAAAAACAATTGTATTATGAACAATTTACAAATGCAATAAAAAGTGTACTCTATATACCATAGCACCCCACCTGCACGTCAGGATGACATGGTCTGCTAGCTTCTAGCACATGGGAGTCCTTGACTGGAACAAATCATTGTCAGATATACTTGCCAGGCAAGCAGACAGTACTTACAGTGATGGCAGCTGCCTCGTTCTCGTGTTTCTACAGAAATAGATATCAGTTAAAGTACATTGGGTAGCTTTGAATGGAACTCACCAATTGACTGTCTTGTAATGGTGTATCTTTTGAAGCTGCTGGACGTGTCGATCATCGGGACAATGGTATTGAGCTAGCGATGATGTAAAACAGTCAGTTAATGAACCTGACAATGCCAGATAACTCACAATGTTCGAAATGTGTGCATATATGCGCCGTTAACTAAATAGCACTTACTTGGATGACTGTCGAGTGGGTGGGATCAGCAGATGGATTGGGCATAAAAAGACCTAGTACTTATGTTTTAGTACAGTGGCCAAGCGAGAAAATCATGTATCAGACGGTACCGGGATGGTTGAGGTCAGATTTTGCTGAGAGGAGGACGGGAGGATGGAGGGAAGAAGAAAGCTGAGGTGAAGCGAGTAGGGATGGAATGTCCCAATAAATATTATAATTGGTCCACTGCATATCGACGTCATCGCGTGAAGTGATGGTGCGTGCGCACTGCGCAGCTGATGCGCAAGAATGTTCAAAGGTTCAAATTTCAAATATTGAGCAAAGTCACCGCGTGCCGCGTCAAGATCTGTTTAGAACATATAGGAATGCATGTAGACTCGTGACCAGTCAAGCCAGGCTGGTCCCGAGCCTAATAGGAATGGCGCATCAGTGGCCGCGTCAAGGCTCGTCACGCCGCGTCACGACCGTGGCAGGATCTATTTCGGTAAGTGCCGCTCGTACTTGTGCTATTACCACCAGTCTGAATCATAGTATTCTCCACCAGTACACTCACTGCACGGGCCTGGGCCGGTTCCATACCCAGCAATTGGATACATGCCTTGAATCTCAACAGGAACTACTACCAGGATATTCCTGTTTCCAACCAGCTGTTAAATTGGTACCAAATGCACTCAAGGCATCTCGAAGTCATCTCCGAAAATACCGAGTCTCCGTATTCGAAAATCCTCATGACATGGTTAATCGATTATCGATTAATGGTCACAGCTGTACATTAACTATTGGTAATGCAAGAATCCGTCGCACCCATTTTATCGCTTGATATGATAACCGACATATAGTGTCTCATGCGCACATAGTATACTCAAAATTATAAATGTATAAAAGTTCTACAGGCGCATGATTATTATAGACGATAATCATGTGAAGCAGCTTTTCCGTCCACATCGTGCTTACCCGAGTCGAGATCTTGAGTCTTGACGAACGTTTTTGACAAGTCAAAAGTCAAAGTAGACTCGGACAAGGATGACCTAGGTGTGTTTTCATTAGGTGCAGATGTACAAAATACAGGCTCATATCCGTTACGGCGATTCAGTAGGAGCAACAGTCACTGACACTGCGCCATGGACTGATCTGTACGGCAATATTATTGTCCTTAAGTGTCATTTCCCAATCAAACGAAATCACCCTCACTGCCAACGACCCATTGATGGACTCAAGATATTACTAGTAACTCGCGTGTCAGTGCCAACGGCTATACTGCACTGATAGGAAAGCAGAAACACGACTCACTGAGCATATAAACCAAACCTGTCATACAGGTGAGTCATGTTATCAAATCCAAAAATCACTAATACTTACACACTGCTTCCACTTACAGGCAGCGCAAGCTCCGTCACCGAAGCAAAATTCGGCACATCTATCTGTGGCAGAGCCCTCAACGGGCGTGGCAGAGCTTGATGTCGCCAATCCAGCGACGATGGCGAGAACAAGTGTAGAGGAGAAACGCATGATGTGCGAGGATGCGATAAAATAAATCTGAAGGGTCAGCAGGAAGATGGCTTGCTTTTATGTGCTGAGCGCCGCTGTTTATGGTTTTAGGAAGAACTTACCCACCAATAGTCTTGCATTCAACAATATGATATCTAGAATGCCAGCAGACTGTCTTTTGACAATTTGGGATGGATCCAGCGAGCGATTGAAAATCTCTCCGCCGATGGATATGAACGTCGAATCCCAGTACCCCCGTATATCATGTATCATGATCGTCTCAATCGCAGGATATTAACTTCTACTCCATCTGAACATCCAATCATCTGCGTGGCACGTCAGCAATCATCGTTCCCGCGCATCACATCATATCGTATCATGTTTAACAAAACCCTGTATTAGTATCTTTGCGAGTCGCTAGGTCGCAGTCTGATGCTCCAAAAACAGAAACATGAAATGATATTGCCGCTACCATTGTTCTACAAGAGTGTTGTGTTTACGACCGAAGCAGATATAGTTCTGAGCAGTTTGGGCGAAGGCACGCAGCGCCTCCCGGTTCCGAGCTGCGTATCCTGCAGGAAAAGGTGAGCTGCGAGGGTGGGAGGGAAAAGGAAACCATCGCGAATCTCCCGAGATCGAGTGTTTTGAATGAGATTTCGCGTGTTCGAAAAGGGAGCGGCGGGTGGGGGAAAAGAGTGGACAATGTCGTTGAGGACGACTGATACGAGAGGAGGCGTTGTCACAGTACGAAGGTAAAAGGTTCGTGCTGCTTCTGCAAAGACGTGGCTGAGATAAGTCACGCTGGTTAAATTAAATTAATTAAATATTACATAATATATCTGGGTAAAATCACACTGCTTCTGATTTGGCCGGTTCCTGAAATGATACGAATTCTCTTATGACTTATGTCTGAACAACATCCAGGCCGATCTTATTCCACATCACCGACATCAATCAAGTGAACTGCGGCTTCTGTTTTCCAAGAACAGGTGGAAAGAAAGAACAAACAACGCAATTGAGTGTTATAAGCAACAATGTGAGGAATGTAAAATAAATTATTGACGATTCGGATGAGTGATGTTATTCTCCCTCTTTTTGTCTCTTTAGCCTCCCTCTGCTGTCGCTGTAAATTGGCGTCCAACTTAGTCTGTGAATAAACAACTTTTTGTAACACTTACGCAAAGGCACGATTCTTTCTCTTCCGGCTCTCCTTCTTGCCTACATTTCTTGCCAATTTCCGTTTGGCAGCAGCCTCTGGGTTGGTGGTCGCCTACTCGAAGTGGTAAGCACCAAGTGCAAGATGAATAGAACCCAACCCACCTTCGTGGCCCGCGCTACTCGTCTTTCTTGCTGGATGCTGGATGCTCCCTGCCTGATGCGGTTGTACGTATTGGCAAAAACTGTCGTGCCAACTTTGTTCTGAAGCAAGTCGAGAAGTTCGGTGGCCGTAACTTTCAGCTCCTCTGCAATGCTATGAATATATGACCAACTTGAGAAGCGATATGCGTACCCATTCCGGCATCCCGGATTGTATCGTCCTCCGTTATCCGATAAACAGGCGTAAGTATGTGCGTCAAGAATCGCTCAAGTTGAGTGGCCTCCATGTGAGACGCCATGGCAGCAAAGAAGCGCAGAATCGACAAGGGAGCCAACGACCAGGTTGTTTTATTCTGAAACAGGAAAGTCAGAGGAAGTTAGATATGATGGCATTAACCGAACTCACAGAGGCATTACCGCGGTTCCGCCGTGCGATGTGGGCTGAGCGAGCTTGATACGACAGCTTGGAGAAGAGCCAAGGTAGAGGATCCTGAGAGCGTTTTTCTCGGCTCGTTTGCGTAGGTTTTGATTGTTCAGCGGAGTCATCGCTCTCACCACCATCCGAGTCCGTCTCAGCTGTGTCGTTGGTATTACTCCCGGAGGGCGAGGAAGAGGGGACAGTGCAGAACAGTTTTCCTACGAAGAAAAGGTTCTTTACAATCTGTAGACCAAGAGGTGCGTCGAGATTGGAGCTCTTCAACTGTGTGCATAGCTTCTCTGCAATATCGTTCATCAACTGGAGGGTAAGGTGCGAACTCTCGAGAGTCGGGGTGGGGCCGTAAAATGCAAAGAACACACCCAACAGCCGACAAGCTGCTGAGCGTACCCAAGCGTGTGGAAAGAGAAGGTAAGGGACGAGTTTGTCCTGGGTACTTTTTATCGCATCAAGCGTATGCTCAGGCAACGTCTGCAAGAGCTTCGAGACAGCAAGCATTGCCTGGTACGGCGATTGCCATTCCACGTCAACATCCATGTCTTTTCCATCGTCATCGCCATCGCCATCTAACAGAGTCAGCGACTGGATGCTGTCGTCCAAGATCTGTTGAACATCGGCGAATAGGGCAGCGGCATGCGGAGAAGCTTCTCGCTGCAAGGCGTCAATGATGAGCCCGTATACCTGCACCGCAACCGCCCTAAGTTTTGCCTGCCCTTGTTGACTGGCCCACGCGTGCAGATGACCAACAAGTACTTTTCTCTCGTCCTCTCCCAACCTCTTGATCAAGCTTTGAAGGACTGATGCGGAAGCTTCTCTGCAAGACTTATCCTCGTCGTTGGCAAGACAGAGTACAAGGGCAACGAAGATCATCTCCGCGTGTTTTGCCAGCAATGCAGGGTCGAACTTGTTCACAAGCGCACCTAAGAGTTCGAGAACACTTGAACGTCCTGACGCGTGCTCATACGAAAGATTTCGGGCAAAGAAACCGAGGGTGGTCTGCAGTCTTCCAGAGCCTTGAGGATAGTCGAGGAGAAACTGAAGAAGAAGGGATCGAGCAGACTCGCGAGTCTGTGTCGCTTGTGACGTGACCAATATAGCGGATACGTCAGCCATAACGTCGTAAAGCTCAGGTACAATCAGCCGTCGTGCCACAATAGCTCTCAGTAACGCAAAAACGGTGCTCTGCCTGTCGAAGTCCTCGAGGTAAGGTGAAACAAATTCGATCAAGAAGAGTAGATCTTTCTCTTTGACCTGAGCGCCCTCGCACTCTCGTAGTATACTCGCCAGAGCCTTGAGACCGGCCTGAGCAACTTCGGACTCTCCACTACCAGTAGAACGGACGATGGCGAGTATTTGACGCGCAATGACTGGTGCAGACGATGAAACTGACTTAAGTGGACATTGAAGAATGCTAGCCGATGCCTTGAAAGAAGCAATAAGGACCGGTTCCGAGGATGAATAAAGAGCATTTCCGATGAGCTTTACAAGCGGGTCTAAACGATTGATGATCTGCTTGTCCTGAAAGTCAAATCGAGAGCGTCGGAATGCAGTATTGAAGAGCTCCAAACCGAAGACGACAAAACTGCGGAGTCCAATGAGTGAAAAAGATACGGTGAATGCATAATGCATGATACGAGGCTCACCGGAAAGAATTATTTGTATAATGATCAGTGTTCGCGACGATTTGGCGTTGTCGCTGGACGATAGCATCAGCTTTTTTGATAGTCTTGCTAGCTTTGGGCTTGGGAGCTTCCTGCAAGAATTTGGCATTTTGACTGATCAGGGTGTGGCACAGAATCAACAATTCAGCAGGTGTGAGCCTTGCATTGCTATTGAGTCCACTGGCAACACGTCTGAGAACTTCGTCAACCTGCTGCAGGATCTTCAAGGAACCCGTTTCTGCGATGATAGAGCGCAGCGGTAGGAGGAGCGCACTAATGCGTTTGGGAGAAACATATCGAGCAGCCAACCCGAAGCAATCGAATCCCTTGGAAGAGCTACTGCGTACTTCACGCATTTTCGTCCGGAAGTCTTCGTGTTGCACATCCTTTCCTGATTCTCCGAAAACCACTTCAGCGGAGACATGGGCAATATCAGCAACACAGTCATCCAGATCTTGAATGGCAGGATCATTGCTGCCCTGTGCAGATGTGACATGGGTAAGCACTGCATGGAAAACAAATGCTAGAACATGCAGTTGCGGTCCACGCAGGAGTGCTGCACGGAGCTCCCGAAACAGAACGGGTAGATAAGGGGAACCAAGTGCGACAGCTATCCTGCAAATCGTATCTCGCACGAGGTCGCGAGTATCTTGTGACTTGCTACGCAATATCTGACTGAGGACCGTTAGGAGCCTGCCTACTTGTAGATCTCTGGAGGCAGGGGGTAAATGCAAGGTGACCTTAGCAATACCCATCGATATCGGAATGCGAAGGGAGTCCTCTGTCTCGTCGCGATCAGACAGGTAAGCCAAAAGCGAAGGTAGAAGACGGGTATGAACAGCGTCAGCGATTTTTTTGGTGTCCTGTTTATCAGCTGGTGGAATGGGCAGCGAGTCCTCTACCAACTCCTCGTGGTCGCTGTTCGCAATGTCATCTGCGGACGCTTGCTGCACAGCTTCTTCGACGGAAAAGTGGAAGTTTTCAAGAATCGCAACCAAAGCACGAACGTAAACCCGGACGCCTTCACTCTTGTCTTTTGACGCCCGGATGTACTTGTATACGAGGGCCGAGTATGCACTCCACCCAAGCTGTTTCGCAATGCGCCCAGTCGAATTGATCGCTTCTGAGACAAGGAGATGATCGAGCGATGCTGTTGGGACAATGTAATGCTCAACGAGCGGAAGGAAGACCTCAACTAATGTTCTGTTGCGCATGGCCCCCTCGTCACAGTACTCCGCAAGGCGTCTCAAAGCTCTTGTGCGACGATGAATCTGTATGTGATGAATATTGCTGAAGAAACTAGCTTCCTCGTCACCACCAGCAAGGAGCGGACGCATCTCCTGCAGGGAGGGGATTCTGTCACATTTTGACACTGCGTACGAGATAACACCAAGCGACTCTGCACGGACAAGCTCGTGCTTAGATTTCAAGGCGTTCTTCAATGCCGGAAGGGTAGTTCGCATGAGAAGTGCTTCGAATTCTGAATTTGATGGGTCGCATGTAAGGTCGATGAAGCGTCTGATTGTGAAAGCGGCGTTATTGCGAATGGCCAGCTCGTCGGCGTCCTGCACAAAATAAAGCGCATTCGAAAGGACAGGAAGCCATTCACGAGATGATAACGTAGCGTACTTCTGCTCATTGAGCAGCATGAACGCAGTCAACCGACGATTAAAGTCAGGTTCATCAATCCGCTTCGATGAGCAGGCATTAAGTGATTCAAGCAGGCTTGCAAGCTCTTGAATACCTGGATTAATCGCTGAGAGCTTATTGAATGCTGAAATGAGGGCGAGTCGAGAGGCGGTGAAGCGAAGTGACATAAAGAGCTGCGAAAGAAGTTCATATGCCTTCGAGAATTCGACAGAGGAGGAATCTGACAGCTCAGTTAGGAGAGGGAATATATGGCCGAGGGTGCTAAGAAGTTTGACTTTGATTTTCTCAGAGATGATTCTGCTGGATTTGCGCAGCAAAGGGGAGAGAAGGCCGAGAAGAGTCAAGGCCTGCGTAGAATCTTCAGCGTAGCGAGCGACCTCCGAAAGTATGCTGATTTGGCGTTGAGTGATTGGACTTGAAAGTGCTGTATCAGCCTTCGTGCGTTCGACCAAAGTTGTGAGGTTCTTGAGCAACTGCGATATATGTGGCTGAACGAGCAAATCCAAAAATTTACTGTCATCTGCGGAATACGACAGCAGGCGCTCTACGATGTCGAAGACTCTATTGATCACTGCTGGTTTGACATTAACTGCCACGAGGCAGTCGAGAACCTTCGGCAGTACACGGGAGTCGTGTTGTACGAGGTGGACCGAATATTCTGGCTGACTGGTCCAAACATAGAACAATTCCAGGAGCGCGGAAGGGGCTTGAGTATTTTCTTGATCCAATAACTCCAGACGTGGAGTCACAATAGCGGGAAATGATGCGCAGAGATAGGACGTGAAGTCAAATTCGACTGGGCAGCGGAAAAATTCGGCAAGCCGCTTGAGGCCTTGCTGTCTCAAATAACGCAAAACTCTGGAATTGGATACTTCTCCGGATTCGCTCTCCTCCTCGTTTGCTTCATCTTCCACCTGCCCGTCCGCATCGACTGCCGTCACATTCGACAAATGATTCTGAGCATTAGCAACTATATCAAGTGTGGTCCCGAGTAAAGCCGGCCAATATGTAGTTAATCTCGACCCGAGGTTCTTCAGCACGTCACCCAACAAAGTCAGGTAACCAGACTGCTGCTTTAACGGGATGTCTGAGGAAATCGGATGCAGTGAGAAGAGGGTGTCCTGGTGAGCATGGCTGTCCGCTTGCATAGGTTTCAACATCAGATCCACTAGAAGATAGAGCTCCTCGTCTGTGCATCCTGCGAGTGCTGTCAGCACGGCAGCTCGACGATCACTGCCTCTAGAGCGACCCTTCTTTTCCAACATAAGGCCATATAACAGACGGACAATGATATCCACTACTTGAGGCCGGTCTTTGATCTCTATCGATGACATATGCAAAGACGTCAACTCGTCTCTCCATTTTGTTTCGTCGAGGAGTAAGCCTAGCTTCGCCTGGTGATGCTGGAGGTGGGGCGACTTGTACGCGAGCAGACAGGATAGGGATACCTTTTGCAGTTCCCGATCGGGATGGGATAGGAGGGAGAGGTACAGTTCTCGCAGTGTATCTGTGGAGTGCAGAGCCTTGGGATTACTAAACTTGCTGAACAGCGTTAACCACGCCTGAAGCTTATATTTTGGCAATCGTGATAGAGCACCCGGACTTGCGATTGAAATGAAGTATGTCACCAACTCGCGGTTATGTTTTTCCGCCAAAGATGTACATTGTCCGAGAGTGAGGAGGATCTGAGCTTCGAACGTGACGGGGTCAAACCGATCAAATGATTTTTGTTCCTATGTCCCATCGTTAATAGGACGCTAGTTGAAGTGCTAACTAGAAAACCTACCGAAACGATGATTTTGCGGTGGTGAAATGTATCTAACCAGCTTACAGCAGCACCCCGAACCCGATGTGCGGTGGGATCCCTCCAAGATCGCTCTTCTTCCCAGGGATCCATGACATTCTGATCATCCTTGGCAGCAGTCAGCCAGTCAGGAATTTGATTGGCTCCCTGGGGTTGTTGTAGCTCAGAGAATATGATATTCCAGACGACATCGCCAAAATTCTGGGCTAAGGAAGAGAGAGCTTGTGACGCTGGGGACCATATCGGTCGTAAGTTGACCTTCAGTTGAGCTAATATGACATCAGCGAAGTGCCTGCATAAATGGAACAGTATACGTACAAACAAGCCACCGAATGCAGATATCAGCAGAAAGTGAACCATCATCTCTCACGACCTGGTATAATCTGCCTATTCGAAGAACGCGCTCGCGCACACCATGCATGTCAAGGGATACTTCGTCACCCTGTAGACAGCGCTTCAGCGCTTCGTGTTCTGCGGGAGAAGATTTGACCATCTTCGATGTCAATAATGCCAAGACATTTGAACGCAATGGTCGAGAAGGGGAAAGCAGCCGTGATTGCAGACGGGAGTATAATTGGGCGATTGGAAAAGACTGAGATGAAGAAGGGCTATTTTGTGTCAGCAAGAAAAAACCAGAATGAGGTCACGGAATTACCATGCTTCGAGAAGTGCGACTAGACCGATCAATACTTTATCAGACCACGACCAATGCTCCACGATCTCCGCCGTCCAGACCGACAAATCCACTTGCATTTCCCAGGAAGCTGCTTTGCATCGAGACAAAGCTTGCATGCATGTTCCGATCACCCAGGCCGCATTGGCATGTGATGCTTGCCAATTCGCTTCGGGTGTCGGCGTGTTTAGTGCGCGTTCAATGATGGGCACCAACAAGGGCGCCAGTGAGTCGACGAATATGGAGAGACTCATGATGTCGTACAAGTGATCCACCGACTCGTTACTAATTTCCCAGCTAGATAAGTGGGTTTGTATCCATCTATCGACGCTTCGCTTCCAGACGATATCGACCTCGCCCAACTTTCCGGAATGTTGCAGAGATGCGAGAAGACGCAACGTGAGAGTGTGCTCTGCCTGAAGTAGAGTAGGGGTTGCTTTGAGAAGGGCGGGTAGTCCGACAAGCTTCCAACCACCCCATCCTAGCTCCGCGAGGACACCGCAGAGCATCAAGCCGAAGGAAGGAACACCAAGAGCCCGAGCGACAAATGCACGTCCTGGCCCTGTGGACATTGTCATGTCACCAGCAGTGAGAAGTGAAGACGTGAAATTCAAAGTTTCGGAATGCAGAGGTACATCAAGCGGCAGCGACGCCAGTCTTGAGGCAAGCTGTGTTAGATGGTTTGCTACAGGTACAGTTTAACGGGTGCGCAAGACTGAGAAACAATGACGACATACTAGACAGTCGCGATCCTTGACGAACTGCACATATGACAGACGTAATCTGCATGACACGTTGAAGATCTTGGTGATTCGCGCCACCAGCCTGCGATACGACACAGAAGCTATCAACGATGAGGCTCGCAACAACCGAGAAGTCTTCCGGGCCATTGCAATGGTGAATCAAGGCGGTCAGCACACGCCGAAGGAGTGTATACGACAATTCAGGGCGATCACTTGTCAGGTGGCAGTCAATGAGAGAAGCTATCGATGATCCTGCACTGGTGTGCAAGGATTGGGAAATAGACTGTAGGCGTATTAAAATCAGCAGCTAGAGTTGAGCAGCAATACGCACTTTGCACGCAAAAATCATCATCCACGCGCTGGCATCCTCGACGCCTTCCAGATTCTTTGCCATCAAAATCACGGCTCTCTCCCTCGCAACGCTCTTCAGCCGCCGGAGTACGGAACCCCAAACCTCGGCTGCGGCGCGCTGGACATCAGAATTGCACGTTGGAAGCACCGCGCGAAAAGAAGACCACGTCTGGTCCAAAAGATCGAGATTGATTGACGGTACGAGAAGATACCTGAATAGTCCTGAGAGTGTCGCCAGGAGAGCTGTAAGGGAGGGTGCTAATATGGGTTGTGGCAGAAATCGCAAGAGGACCTCTAGTAAATCTCCATATGACGGAGCAAGTGTGGTTCGTAGATCGTGAGCCAACTTATTCAGGAGGCTAAATAATTATACGGTTAGAGAACATTTAATCAGGTGTTAAGTTGAGAGGCGTACTCAAGCAGAGCTATCAAAGCTTCGTTGTCTGATGCATCCAAGGCACTTTTCCACAAGTCAATGATATCCTTCCAGTTATGCAAGAGTATGGGCATAGATATTGAAAGCGAGTCAACCTTGTTCGCGAACTGAATAAACGCTGGGGAGAGATTGAGCTGCCTCCATTGTTGAAGAGCTAGATAAAAATGGGATTCGTTGTCCTGGACCTGCTTCAGCAATCCACGTGGATCGATGAGACCAACCTCAAACTTACCGAAATATCGTGATCGAACTTGGTGAGGTCAAGAGCAGATGGCAGATGGACCTCCTTCAGGCTTTTCTTGTATGATTGATGCTAAATGATGCGCGGTCAATCAAGCGAATGAGCTCGACAATATCTGAAGCACCTTGAATCGGTTCGCGCGGGGAAGTGCACTGGTTCCCTCGCCTGAGTCTGAGTCCGAATCCATGGCTTTCAGAATGTCGCAAAGGACTGTCAGAAAAAAATGTCGCGCTACCGTTTGTGAGGACAGACGACGGTCATGAAATGACACTGACTGCTCCGGTTGGCTTTCGGACCAAAATTTGCGATCTCGAAAAGGTTGTTTGGATCAGAAGCCTTTGCCAAACAGTCCAATCCCGGAGGTACAGCTTCCGTTATAACTTTTACACAGATCCCGAAGTTAAAGTTGTTCCGTGCACACTGCACAACCAGGATGTCCGAAGAATCGGGTTTGAGCGCCATTCTCGAAGAAATTCTCCAGGCGCACTTATCATCACCAAATGACTCGCAGGGGTACCTATGCTATGCGTATCACAAAATGGAATTGGGGAAACAAGACACTGAAGAATGCAAAGCGTGACATCGAACCCTTGGTCAAGGCAGTATTGCTCGAACTACGAAAAGCAAGGCAATACAGAACCGTGTTCTTGGCGGACTCCATCATCGCTGGCCTCAGAAAGCAACTCGAGCATATTCTCGTTCAAATGATGAAACCGAACTTTCACTTTTGACTTGATGACAAATTTGCGACGAGCACAATGCGACAGTGGTGGGACGACATAGAGATTCCCAAGGGTGTCACTCTCATTACGTCTGCTAACATAGACGAAGCCTTCAAGTCGAAGCTGCAACAGATTCAGCTAGAGCAACGGGATCAGGATGCGATAAAAGAGCTTGTCACATACGTCAAACATATGGCTTGTGCCCAAGCAACAACTGAAAAGGATAGCGCGTTGAATTCGGAGGTCGCCAAGACGTTGAATGCCCTTGTACATGTAAGTACTCGATGGTTCATCAAGCCTGCATGTGACTTACACACGCATCAGGCTCTCAAATCCAACAGCACTCGTCTCCATAACTGTAGCATAGCAATGGATCCAGATTTGTCTTGTGATGTAAGGGTGGCCGTTCAATTCAAGATTCCCAACACAAGGGACCAGATTCATGCAACCACTCTAGAGCCCCAGATTTCTGGCCCTTCCTCAAAACGTCACCGATCAACCACCGGTTCGTACATTGCCTTTGATTGGATACTTACTCTGTCTCACCACCTCTGATACCTAGTCTCTGAATCGCCTGGCGCAATGAAGAAAAGGGCTCGCAGCTCTCCCTTGACTATTTCTGACGAGGATCTCGTTGGTTGACTCTTATGCCATTCTTCATGTGTTTGTCAGAGTTTCTCTGCATGCTTTTGTATAACTCATCACTAAACTTTTTAATTCAATCACGTATCATACTTCGTAGTTGATAATTTCATGATCATGCGGAATTTTGGCGAGTGTGATCCTGCCTCTTTTGGATCAACGAGATAACCCTGACCTTTTGATGAATGGAAGTTGGACTCAAATTAACATCTGATGGAAAGCCCATTGATATTCGTTCAGCAAAGGAATCAGCAATGTGTTGAAGTTGGATTAGTTGGCCATGCGATCATACTCATGTAGTGTGCATTTCCTCGCTTTATATTTGATGACGCCATAGCTATTAGAAGAACGCAGATCTTTGATATATTAACCACAAGCAGTAGTATGAAGTACAAGTGTGGTTATACATATCGACGATCGTGGTCGTGTGCCATGTTGAGCTGTGCTACCAGGGTCTCTGTATGGTACACGGCGTATCAGTTATACAATCCTAAACAGTCACAAACAAGGGCACCTGACGAAAGGCAGTTCGAAATACAGAAAAATTAAGGTGCCGAAGGTAGCAAAAATGAGAACAACAGTAAGGTGAAGGTAATAATAACTGAGCAAAACTAGTAGGCAATGGCTTGGGGTGGATGGTCTGTTGGAGGGGTACACATGGACCACATAGTTCCGTCTACGCAGTAAGCAGGTGGAGGAGCCTCAAGATCTGAGTGAGCGGGGGACAGCTCGCCCTTGTATATACTAGAGCGATTCGAACGTGGTGGCGCGCATGGCGACGCGCATGGCGAGGAGAGCTGACACTTCGGAATGGAGGGTATGTATAATTGCATCGGGTCCGGGTCCGAAAAGTCCCAAGAACCATCGTCCTGCTGGTGAGCCACTCGCATCGGTTTCCGCACTGGAAAAAAATCCATCAGAATGGTACTTCTCTCTTAAGCAGCAGGAACTTACTGAAACTGAACTTGGATTCAGTCGAGAGTCGAGTATTATCTAATGTGAAGATGCGCCGTATGCGGGGGGAGAAAGCTGCATCAGCTTCATCAGCTGGTCTGCGACGCAGGCGTAGGAGAAGCCATGTGATGAGCGCAAACAGGAAGACGCCAACAACGCCAACGGTCACGGCTACGGCTACAGCATGCCAGTCTCTCGGAGGACTGAAGCCAAGGTCCGTCTCAGTCTCAGTGGGAGAGATAGAAGTATCGGTGGGACTTCCGTCGTCGGTGAAAGGCATGGCTATGGTGCTTTAACGAATCTACAGTTGATCTGTGGGTCACAACTCGGGAGGTATTATTCAGTATGAACCCACCGCACGTAAAATGACTATTTTCGGACACAAGTTGATAATGAGTGAGTATAGAAACAGTCGGAATTATCTGTTTATTCCAAGCAAGCCGACTGTCAGCATGCTCTTGATATCGAATAAGTAGTACATACTACGGTTTGACTATACAGTGCTGGATTAGGAAGGTCTAGCAGTTGATGTGAGTAGACAAGTCGCAATTAGTAGTACTTGGAGGATCGACGCGTGATAAACGCCTGCCTGGATGCGAAGGTAAAGGAGCGACGATGAATGTGGTGAGAGACCAAAAGAGTGATTATGCCATGTCTTGATTTCTCTTGTTATAAGCTTTCGCCTCCAAGGGCTTCCTTGTGCTTCGATCAAAGATCAAATTGGGTTAGTGTGCGAAATATATTATTAATTACATAATGTAATGTTTCTCGATATTCTATCTTCACTTCCAAGTTTCTTCAAGTCGACTTCTTGATTTCGCAGACACAAGTACGGTAATACTGTTAGCATCGTTACATACTGACCTGCCCATTCATCCTGCCTCATAAAGCGCCACTTGCAAAGCTCAAGAGATTAGGCCGATCGCAGTCCTCAGGCAAAACCGATATCGAATCGTGGCTAGTTTCGACAAACCCGTCGCACGAGATGGATGGTGAGGGCACGAGCGGACAATTATGGCCCAGAGATCTCGTACAAGAGGACTGGCAAAAGGCCATGCAAATTGCACAGGGAAGACTTTTAACCAGCAGTACCAGAATTCGCCTGCAGTTCTTACAGGAAGAACTTTTATGGCTTGCGAACAACGGAGGCACGTGCTGCAGTTCACTGTAGTCGAGCAACATTGTAATTTCAAATTGTTTTCAAGGATTGAGCCTAAGGCAAATCATGGATGTTTTTCAACTCCTGACGCAAACATATCCCCGATACGTTGATGGCGCTTCCCGCGATGCCGTCGAGGAAGTGGGAATGACATTGATTGAGAAGGATGAGACAGCTGAGGCTGGCCAAAAGTTGGGAGTCACAGAGCAAGTTCTAGGATGGCTTGCGAACGAAGTATCACACATAGCTAAGCGTGGTTCACCAAGGTCTGGTTCTCATCTCTCACCTCTAGATGTTGGCTGATATTGGCATATAGCACATATGCTCCTGCAGATATCTTCGTTCTCTTAAGTTGGGCATGCGGGCTTTATGCAACGTGTCTGCGGTCTTCTCCTGGCTTTACTTCCTCCCCTCTATGGAAAGTGCTCGTCGAAATCTTCGCGACACTTCTTGATATGCAGCTTAACCGCTCTACGCGGACAAAACCAACTATGCAGAAAAGTGCATTTGTCCGTACACGCAGGGCCCTTAGGTCTGTACCGGAAGAGCTTCCCACTCTCATGGCAACGCTCGTAGCGCAAGCAAAATCTAGCCAAACTCCCCTTATACAGATTTCGTTACTGAGTTCTGCTGTGGATGTGACACTTCGTCTGAAAAATGTGAAGGACAAATCACTCACCCAAATTCCTTCCGCGATCAAGGTAATATAAGCATGTTCTTCCAGTGTGGTACCTGCTGAATGCGATACCAGAATGGCATCCTCGATCTTTATACGACTTGCGTTGTGATGTCCAAAAATCCTGTTCCGTCGCACTCCTCTGTAAGGTGCCTATATTTGTTACCTGATATCAAATCTCAATATATGTCGTGGCAGAGCGCGCTTCATGACTTCATAGGGACTTGCGTAACCTCTAGCGATCTAACAGCAACTGTATTACCAGCTATGGAAAAGGCACTTTTGCGATCACCAGAATATTCACTAAGTGGTATGTGTGTACATTAGGTCCGTCAATATCCGACTAACTGCTTGCAGTAATCGCAGATTTTTTACTTGCGTACTCTCATAACCTCGACTCCGCTACATTCAAAAAACTCCTTACTGCCTCCCTCAACTCCGCCAAGTCTAGCAACCCTGCTGTGCGCACGAACGCCACAGGGCTTTTCAAGGTCCTGATCTCCAAGGGCATCGATTCTACCAGCGTTGGTGCAGCGCTCACGGATGTTTTGACACCGCCCAAGACTGGTAAAACCACAGGCCCAGAGCATCGACTTACGCTTTATGCAATGCTCGCCACGATGCCGCCAAGCGCTGAGGTTTCGGCTACTGTCGTCCAGAATGTGCCTCAGCTACTCGTGAAGGAAACGAATGACGCGGCTATTGGGGTGCTGGTATCGATCATGGCGGTACATCTCACTTTTATCCTCAAGGCAAATATGGAAGTACCTACAGACGCGACAGCTGTGATTGCGAAGGAGATGATCAACACGAAGCCTGTCGTTAGGAGAGCCTTTGTATCTATCGCTGGGTCAGCGCTTTGGAACGTTGACAGGGTCGACACCGATGCTGTTTTGGCTTTTTCAACGGGCGTCATAAGTGCTCTTGAAACGAACCTAAAGGTTGTGACTGCAAATCCTCTGACTGCAGCAGTTGGTCCATTGGAGGGATATGTTGCCCTTGCTCTGTTTATGGGTCCTCTGACAAACACGGGGAAGTTTGGTATGTTCATTCTCTTCGGTCGATGCTGTGTTTCGTACTCATTTCTTCAAGGTGACATCATAACTCGCAACGCATCCATCGAAGTTCTGACCGGCACACAAGCCAAGCCTTCATTCGTCATTTCGGATAAAATATACCAAAAATTGACTGACGTAGAAGACGAGCTGTGGCTTTTACGTGCCGCGAACCTATCTCTTTTCCGCCTGAAGAACGAGCTGCTCAAAAGCGAGCAGTTACGGCCAGTATAATCGTCTTACATTGCTTCTTTCATTTTGACATCATTCTCAGGTTGCAACTCGGCTCCGTTTTTGTTCATCTTTCCATTCACTCACAGTCATCTGAAGTTCGCAGGGTAGCAATCCAGACTATCGAAGCAGCTGTTCAATCACTTCCACAGCTTGTCATTTCGATCCTGCGCGAAGCACTGGCAGCTTCATTGATCAAAGAGAAGTCCGCTGTCGTCAAGAATGCATCAGCAACAGAAGAGACGGAACAACCTGCTCCAGACACTCAGCGAAGGTATGCAGCACTGCTACTGTGCTGTGGCAATAAGGGAGAAGCCGGTGCGGGGGAGAGAGACGATCAACTAGTAGACCTCATTGTTCTGGCACATCACTCTGCCGTTTGTGAGCTTCCTCCTTCACTACCCTATCGACTGCTGCTGAACACTTTAAAAACGTATCAGGTTCTCCATCCCGCATGCTATGGATTGAGTTGTGCCAGAAGGCTGGCGTGGACCCGCACAATTTAATTTCTCGTCGGGTTGACCAGGCGATGTCGAGCATTTTGACAGCATCCACCATTGATTCAAAGGTATTTTTATATGTCCACGTTTTTTGAACGCGCTGACAATTATGGATTCTAAGTTTGGCTTTGCGGACGCAAGCTATCGAGCGATTAGCACATTGGCGTTTGTATGTCCCGAAAATGTATTACCGAAGATCATGGAGCAGTTACGAGCCGATATCGACCCTTCGAAAATCAATGCACTGTCCGAAGCTGAGTTCGGTATCTGGGAAACACCAGAAGGCATGACGTACGTAGATGGTAAGTAAATGAATCATAGGAATTACGCCATATTCATTGTGTTCTTGTTGCGTAGTTCTTTCCTCTCAGAAGGGAGAGGAAGGTCCTAAGAAGGGGAAAGACGCTGATATTGCCCGCTGGGAGGCCGAGCTTCGTAAATCGCTTGCGAACAAGAAGGGTGGCGCGACAGCTACGCTGTCGAAGCAAGCTCAAGCCCTCGTACAAGCACAGCTGGACAAGGAAGCAATTGTGCGACAGCGAGTCACCAC